GAAATCAAAATCACAAACTGCTGGAAGTAACGATGGAGCTGGAATGTGTTTAAACTTACAAATGTTATGGACTCGAATTCTGTTTTCTTTAATTCTATTGATGATATTGAATTGTATGATATATGTTTTACCCACTCCTGCTAAACCAGAAGCCTTGGAAACTGAAATCACTCTGGTATGTCACATAATGTCAGTGTCACGTCCGTACCAGACAGGAATCTACCTTATGTCATGCTCATTACTGCGTTATTATATCGTTCAGAAGAACACAGGTTTATTTTATATATGTTTTGCCTTGCTCCAAGAGAGCGGGAAACAAGCGACAATAGGTTACTCCTCTTTTCGTCCCGCGAATTAAAGGAACTTTTCTCGAAAACTTCTATGTTCCGTACACTTCTCAGTGTCCGTAATACTTGGTTCTTCATATCAGTTCTTTTTGAATTTTCAGAAAAGAGTTTGCTGATATTCTCGGTACTGGGATTGGAAACCCTTATACATACAGCTTTAATCCGTGCACACCGATTAAGACATGTCAATCAAACGTAAGTAGTACAATGCTTCACTTCAAAGGAGATATTCGGCTGGATTTCCTACTTGCTGGTCAAGAAACGAAAAACAAAAACTGTAAACGAACAAARAAAACCAACATTAATTGAAAACAAACAACRCACACTGAAAAAAGAGGTGGAAAGTCAAAAAGAAAATGGAGAGAAACGAATATGGTGTATATAGAATAGTGCCCACAAACAGCTGTCGTTGTCCCGCTAACAGATTGACCACAAGGCAGACTGCACGGCTGCTAAGGCAGCCGAAAAAGAATGAAACAGTGGCGGATTAAGGGAAGCGGGGGGAGGGCTGTGAAAAATTATATTCTCATACAAGTTTTTTAAACAAATAAATCTTCTAAAATGAAAAATAACAAGTGAATTAGCTAGTTAACTAATTAATTTGCTAATTTTAGTGGGAAATTTCTATTGGATACGTTCTCCAAACTAATACGTCATGCAAATTTCCCGCCAGAAGTTCGCGCCATTTTAGTGCCTCCTCCCCCCCGTCCCCTTAAAAAAATACTGGATCCGCCCCTGTGAAAGGGGAATATGTGGCTTCACGCCGACGTTGGCGTTTGGCACTGATTTTATATATATATCACTTACATCCTTCWAACAGATTTGTCAGAAAGAACAGGGTAAAAGCGACGTTTCCTGTGGTCTTCCAGACCCGGTATTTACAGTGGACGCAAAAGGAAATCCTGTTATGACTTTTAAAGAAACTGAAACAAGGCATGTCCACATTTATGCTACAGTTTTCTTCTAGTAGATGATAAAATATTACTAGCTTGCTGGTATYTTTCATTTATAATTTTTCTTTTCCTATAAAATTCTACAAACATGACATGTAATTTTATACCTAGTCTTTCACCTGCCCTTGTGTCTCGCATGTGCGTATACATTAATATAGTTTTATCGTTTTATATATCACTTTTTCAAGGACCTCCAAAATCACTCTGGTTTGTGACAACAGTAAACCAATAGGAGAGTTTGAGAATGGGATAGGTTATACAGACAGCAGTGGTATTACAACATATGTAAGTAAATCGTTGACGCATATAGCTAGTTTTATGTAAGATTTACACAAGATTACTAAGAATTCCTACTTTATTGCTCAGTTCTTCTGTTTTAATATTGTAGACGGGGGAACTTTCTTCAAAATATTCTTGCGCGTTTCCATCTTCAAGTTTTAGTGCTGGAATTATCATCACTTCAAAAAAGACTACGGACGGGAAAGAAGATCTTCAAAGATCGTGAAGGAACATCAAGAAGACAAGAGTGTTTTGTTTAGTATTTCGCGCATAACAAAGGTTGGCCCATTTATTCAAGACCTAATTAGTTTTACGACCATTTCTCCAAGAATCCTTACGGGTTTGAGTTTCAAATTAGTGAGTTTTTGAAGCCCTTTAATAAACTGTGTTAAAACACTGTGTTAACACACTGTGCTAAAACACTCATTAAACACTGAGTACACAAGTTCATTTCTGGTAGTGGGAGAATATTATAGCGGCATAAAAATTGATGTGTATTGACAACATTTTATGTTACAACATTTTCATAAAAGAATTAAAAAATAGATAAAAAACATGTTTTTAAAAGAAACATATGCGCGYGTTGTGTTCTCGTCTATTGAACAGGTGCATGACGGTCATGTCGCGGTCTTGTGGTGCGGCGTAGCATGATCTCTTGTTGCGTGTTTTGGGTGCGCTGTACTGCCTAGGTACAGAGCAAGATGGGAGAGTACATCACAAAAGGGGTCTTAGCTTTGACGGAAATATTTAGAAGTCCAAAAGGTGCCATTCATTTCCTTTGGTGCATCAAAAGGGCTTTAATTCTTTATCTCCCTTTTGTGTTGTAAACCCTCATATACTATTTATTATATACTCAGTTGTTCAACGATGGAGSTATATAGTCTTTTGTAGATATTCATTTGAGACATGAAAACGTGATGACGACAAGTATTGGTTTAAGAAAGATTTGCTAAATTTTTCATATTAGAATATTATTACAATTATACAATTAAAAAGGGGAAGGGCAAAAAAAAAAAATAAATAAATAAAAGAGGAAAGAAAGAAAATCTAAAAAAAGAAGAGCACGACCGTGCAGTGGCTCGAACCCTTGACTGAAAAATTGAAAAAGTTTGGTACGATTCCCCTGAGACATTCTGTGAAGCTGAAGCGTCGAATCGATTTACATTCCGGTTAGAGATTTCGGCTCTTCCATGCTATCCCGATAATTGGTCCTAACTTCGCGCTAACTAAAAAGCCAGTGAGGGAGAAGCTATCCGGCCCCTAGACACTGATGGATAACCCCTTGCACTAACTAGGCAACTATCGAAAATTTAATGTCAAATTGGGGTAGTCTATTCGGGGAAAGTGTCAAGTGGTCTATTATTATGTAAATGAGCGTGGTCCTGTGGCGTACCTCATTAAGGCGCTCGCTCTTCAATCCAAAGGTCGGGGAGCGACCGAGATCGAATCCCGTTCAAGGACGTAGTGTCTGTTAATTTTTTATTGATCTTTATCGTTCTCTTTTTTCCTTTTTTTTCTTTTCGTCCTCGGTATGATCCTATCCACTTGATATGTATTACAAGTTTCTTTTTTTCTCGGATCTTACTCGGTTAGCCATTGAAAAATTATGTGGGTTCCCTGTGTCTTGACGTCTCACTCGGTGTCTTCACGAACAGTTCACTCATTACTAATGATAAAACCTCGCATCAGAGAGGACCATGCAGAGAGAAAGAGAGTTCCTTGTGGGCTAGATTTTTCTTCCCAACATAGAAGTCTAGATTTATCACCAACTATTTTGAAAATGTCAAAGTGACTAAACGTCACATTATTRTTCGGTCTACCTGTGTATGGTCTTTGAGTCAGTCCAGTGGCGCAAGTACAAGCGAATCGACTAACTCTAAAATATCCAGATCTATATCCAGTTTCGCACTGTTCGCGGCGGACTGAGATGGAATCGGCATGTAGCTCGAAGTACTTGAAGCGGTTTTCACTTGACTCCTTTAACCCATAACGTGTTTCACTCGAGATGCGTGACTCGAGATGCGTGACTTTTACACGATGACGTAAAACACCGTTGGTAACGCAGGTATTCTCCATTGTATGTAATGTAAGATGTATCCACGAGATATTGCCAAAGTTACTTCTGTCTTTATATCGTTCATAAACCTGGCTTTTGCTAAAGACTGTAAAAAAATAGATGTATGTAGGT